AGCGTTATTATATGTGTCAGCGGTCCAAGAAAGTTCTCAATAACGCGGGCCTGTACACTCATTTACCTGTTCCTGAGGCCCTTGGTTCGATGTCAGTATGGACTTTGTGTTGGGCTTACCCCGTACCCAATGAGCCTTGGATTTTATTTTGGTTGTGGTTGACAGCTTTTCCAAGATGACCTATTTTGTAGCTAGCAGAAAAAGAATGGATGTTGCCCGGATCGCCCATCTCTACTTCAGGGAGATTGTGAGTTTACATGGTGTTCCTTGATCAATCACTTCAGATCGTGACACCAAGTTCATGAGTCATTTCTAGAGGAGTTTATGGGAAAAACTAGGGTCATATGTGAATTTCAGCAGTGCATACCACCCCCAGACGGATGGTCAGACTAAGGTGGTGAACCGGAGTTTGGGCAATCTTTTGAGGTGTTTGGTAGGAACTAAACCAAAGCAGTCGGATTTGGCGTTACCTCAAGTAGAATTTGCCTATAATAGATCGAAGAACAAAACTACAGAAATGAGCCCATTTGAGATTGTCTATAGTCAGAATCCATCGGGGGTGCTGGACTTGGCCCCTATTCCACGTGCAGGTCGTTTGAGTCCTAAGGTAGATGAGATGGTAGAACATTTTTAGGGCATCCATGAGCAGGTGAAACTAGCCATTTAGGAGAGCAATGCCAAGTACAAGACTCGAGCCGATAGTCATTGTCGCCAAGTACTTTTTGATGTTGGTGATTTTGTTTAGGCAGTATTAACTCATGATTGTTTTCCTGTTGGAGAGTATAATAAGCTTAAAGAGCGAAAGATTGGACCATGTGAGATACTACAGAAGATCAATAATAATGCCTACAGGCTACACCTCCCCAGTCATCTAAGGACTTCTGATGTCTTTAATGTGAAACACCTGAATCCTTGTTTTATGGATTCCGATGGTGCTACTGTGAACTCGAGGACGAGTTCTTTCCAACTCGGGGCAACTGATGTAGGAGGATCCGAGTCAAATGATGCTGAGTTATTAGATGAGACGTTGATGGCGCTGAGATACCTTGAGTTATCAGATCAGCACAGTCAGAAATCTAAGTCTAAGAAGGGTTGACATTGTTTTGATCATAACTTTTGATTTGTTTCGAGTTTCGGGGCCCATAATATATTAAATCAAAGCTCTCGATGAGTCTTATAAGAGTCACAACCTATGGCGGTGAAAGGCACTATTCAAAGCCAAAAAAAAGGCCTAGAAACGTGTGTTTGGACCTTCTGAAGTTTTTTTTCTCAATTTTGAGTTTATTTGGATTTTTTTGTAATTTAATTATTCCTTGTGTAATTAGGGTTTTTAGCTTATTATTTAGCATTTAAAGGATGTTTTCATGTGTTTTAGGGTTAACTATCATTATTCTAATTTTATAAAGATTGTGGCTGCTTAGTCAGTTTTTTTTGGGCGATTCTCTTGTGTTCTTCTCTGTGAATTATCTATTGAAACTAGCCTACAGAATAATAGTTATTCTGTCCAGCTTCACAACTTTTATACGTATATAACTTTCTCTTTCTCCCTCACAGGCATTTTAAACTCACACTCTCCTATCTCTTATTCTCTCTCTCTCTCTCTCTTATTCTTTTAGTATTATTTGTTTGTCTTAATGATTCTAATTGGACTGATTTACTCAAAACATTTGTAGAATTTTATAGATGAAAAAATATTTAAATATTAAAAAAAATTCTCAAGTAGTAGATATTTAAAGGACAAGCTAATCACCAATAAAAAAAACTTAAAAGTCCTGCTAATCACCAAAAAAAAAAATAACAAATGTTACCAGTTGTACCAAAAAAATTCAAAATCAAGCTAATCACTAATAAAAAAAATAACAAGTAATATCAATTGTACCAAAACAAATTAAAAAATTATGCACAAAAAAAAAAAATTCTAAACCAACTATCAATTTTTTTTTTCCTTATTTGCATCGCTTTCCTTTTGCTAATGTTTATATTTTTTAAATTCTTGAATAGTTTAAAATAGACACCGAAACGATAAAAATGTCAGTTAAATTAATTTTTTTTAAGTAGTGAAATTTTGATTTTGTTGTTTTGGTTTAATTGTAGCGTGAGAATATTTCTGCAGCATCTGAGAAGTTATAGTAGCATATAATTTAAATCAATTGTCCTTGCAGCTACAAGCAGATTCACTGGACAATATTGTTCAGTTGCATATTTTTTATATTTTTTGAAAATTTGATTTGTAATTCAATGTGAACTAGAAAACATTTTCATTAGATTTAACAAGAGGTTGAAAAAATGAACATTTATTAGAAAGAAGAGTTACCATAAAGAAATATTTGTAATTGTGTTAATTTAAGTTAACAGTGATTTTTGAATTGTGTTAATGTAATATAATTTTTTCATTTCAATCCTGTGACATTTTTGAATTGTGTTAATGTAATATAATTTTTTCATTTCAATCCTTTAACTTATTTTATGTAAAACATTCTTGGATACCCCATTTGTTTGACAATTTTTTTGTGTTACTCTGTACTTGCATTTAATGAGACTTTTCATCTCTGTTTCCTCTACCCATTACATTTTCAGTAAATCCAAATTAAAGAAAAAGAAAAAGAAAAAAGTTAATTATTAACATCACGATTTCTTGTATCTTTGTATTTCAAACTGCCATCTATTAATTTCCTTCTCACCCATTCAACTTCCCTCTCTCTTTACACGCACAAATCTATATCTATCTATATATCTATATACTATTTCTTATATCTAAATGTCAACAATGATGAAACTTTTTTAAGTAACAACAATAACCTCAATAAAATAAGTAATGACTATCCTATTAATTTCTTTTTTCTATCTTATTAATTAACATCAACATCAACATTATTTTTAATTCTCTTAAAAGATATTGGGTTCAGGCTTATACGGGTTAACTATCGGGCTTCAGGTCCGGTAACGAAACTCGTGGATCAACCCGACCCATGGAGACCATAGATGGGCCCTTAGGTTGGGTAGACTAAATATGGTTATATCTTGGTCAAATCTCACGCAACGAACTTGGATACGAGTTAGGTTAGGAGAGGGGCAAATTGGTCGATGACATTGGTTTTAAAAAATATTTTAAAGCATTTTATGTATTTTCTTAATAAAGATAGTGAAACCATTTGGCGAAGCTGCGATGTTCTCTAACGAATTTAGGCAACTATTAACTACTAATAATTCTAAGAGGATAATTGTATAGAGAACAATAGCTACCAACAATATGCAATATCCATATTCTCCTTTTTTAAATTAATTAGCCAAACTCTACAAATGGCATGGCTCTCTCTGTCGCACTGATGGCCAAGGATATCGTAATTGATAGTCATCGGGATAACCGCCACTTAAGTAGAAACCATTCTCTGTAGCTTTCCAATAACAATTTCCAATTGGTTGACAAATTTTTCTTTCCTTCCTATCCTTAAAAACATCGAAGCTCATGTCCTTTCCATTCCATCTCGCACAGCAAAAGAAGAGCATTGATTCCAAAAAAATTGACCTTGAAATGCCAGCTGAATTCATTTCTCACATAAAAGGTATGCTTGCCAATATCATCGTCCTTGGGTTGGCATCGAATGAACAACGGGTTTCACCGTTTGAGTTGTTTTTGAAGCTATTGATGACATGAACCACGTACGTTGGCCTTTCTGAAACAATGCCCGTCAGTTCTGCTAGTGTCAAACTGCAAATTACAGAAAATGTTAGGACAAACAATACAAAAGAGAAGCTGGAAGCACTCATCTCTCAGTTAGAGGTGTTCCTGTTTCTTTCCTGTACACTTGGCCATATATAAAGGAAATAACCCAAAGCATTTATGATATATGGCAGACCATTATGAAGTGTTTTGACTCAATTACTGTTGTTGTGTAGTTTTAGTTTTTATCGTGGTTTTTAACTTTTCGTGACAAACCGTTTATGAGACTTTGTACTCAGTTGAATGGCTGTTAGTATAAGATTCATCTATGGTACCAATCTTTTCATTATCGTGGTAACAGCTGGTAAAATTTGGTATGCCGATAAATGTAGAAGTACTATTCTCTTTACTTTGGCTTCAAGTACTCATATCTGCCATGCAAATTAATTAATGTAGGTGTAATCTTCTCTTACTTGGGTTACAAGGGGGTAGAATTATGATAGATTATGAGAATTGATGAAATCAGTTTTAAAAATACTATAAATATTTTTTTTTATAGAATACATACTCTACTATTACGTGATGAAATCAAACCCACCTTTAAGTAAAATAACATCTGAAAAGAAAAAAACAAATATATTTAAGATTGTTGGAAGAAATCACACCAATATTACAAAAATCTTGTAATGGACATACAGAGAATTTCCTCCATCATGAAAATCAAAAGGAGAGAAAAAAGTAAATGAATCCAAACAAATTCGTAACACAAATACTTATACAAAAGAATACATAGTGATAAGCATCAAAAATAACAAAAGACTAGAAGCTCCTTCAACATATAGACTCAGTAACTATTATACTAAAGAGGATATAAGACCATTTAAATTGGAGAAGAGTAACAGTCCGTTGTGTTGTTAATGGTGAAAGTGGATGATCCATGCATCCCCTCTTACTGACCAACATCCAATTAAAGTCAAGAGCTACATTAAGGAACACAATTGTATTACATATAGAAAGTTGGTTGAGACAAACTCTTCTTGGATCGCACAAAAAGATGAAAACCCAGATAACAAGTAAAAAATAACCCAAACATCACCCTTAGACTGTACAAGCTGAACGCCAAGATAAGTGAAAGTTTGAAACAAATAGAAGTCTGAAATGGGCGAAAAGGGAAATGGAACAACTGAAGGGAATCATGGCAAGTCTTTTAATTTACTGTCTGCATATGTTAGGGAATTGAGTGCGAGAGGGCACCGTTCACAAAAATAAAAAGGGATGGAAGGCATGTTAGTGCATTTCATATTGATTGCTCAAAGGTTTCAATAAATTCCAATTCAATCTAGAAGAGGTGTATTAAGTCATCTATTGCCATGGTTAAGGGATCTAGTGCAAGTTGTAGAATCTTCATTGGGGTTGGATGGATTTCTTCTGAAGGATCATATGGGGTGGCTGAAGGTGAACAATCAGACAATTGGGATTGGTTATTACAAAATCTGCATGTAGTTATTGGATGCCACCAGGCAAGGAATATTCATCTTAGACAACCCGAAAGGCAACAAAAGTTCAATCATTGAATCATGTATTTCTGGATGTGCTATACTCAGCTTATGTTTATATTTTTTCGTAGGTAGCCTTGGGCCATAATTCGTACTTTTAGCTGTGTTGCATTTCATCTTAGCTGCAAATTTCAAATAAACCTTAAGTGCTTATAATAACCACAATCCTAATCAATAGTTGTAGCACAAACAAAACAAACATTACAGCAATCAAAATCTTCTGAAGTTTATCTGTTTATGGTTGCCCTCCATAATCCAAACCTTTTCTATTAGTGAAGAGTATTCAAAGTATTCTGCGTGTGAAGTACAACTCATTGGCATGATTCCATCTTGCTTAACTGGATTGATGGCATTGTCTCACTTTGTGTTCTCTCTCTCTCTCTCTCTATTAACAATAATGTGCATCTACATATGTATGTATATAGGTCTATCGAAAGATATATCTATATATATATATACATAAAGAGAGACCAACTAGGAGAATGTGTCTAGGGTAGAGAATCTAGAAAGAGAGAATTTAAAGAGAAAATGTACCTTGCACACTTTGCTATTGAACCTTGTAGAGAGAGCGCAAAAGATGGTTTTTGAGGGCATCTATCTTAAAAAGGTAGGGTTTTAAAAATGGCGACCATAACATTTTTTTGAAAAAGTTGTTTGGGTCAAAGAAGTTAATTTTGGAGATATTTGATTTTTTAAGCTTGATGTCAGAGCTTGTTATTCTAGATATTAATGACAGTTGGACATCTGTCAGAGCTTGTTATGCTATAAATGTAAAGGATCTTTGTGGAATGTTAGAGGGTCATTGTGTCATTTGGCCCAAGGGAAGGCGCTATATAAAATTAACTCATAGTAATATTGTTGTATTTATTTTGGAGCACTTATTATAGTTATGACAAGGGGGACAATCATAATAACCCTATAAGGCATCAATGTCTTCACAAATACATAGTTTGAGAGGCTACACAACAATACATGAATAGAAAAATAAAAGCAATACAAGAATGGTGTTTAGTACAAGATCATTAAGAAACACAGATGATTTCTAGTTTTCACTCAAGTTCTGTTATGACTTCCAACTTCTACTGAATAGATCTTCCTGGTATGATTGCATTTACCTATACTGAACTTGTTGTAGCAAAAAGATTTCAAGGCATTGCCAACTTATATTCTGCTCCAGCTAGCATTTGAACCACCAATTTCATGGAAAGGCGATTTGATGGATTCCATTGAATACACTAGAGTCCAATAATATTAAGCTTCCTTACTATCTTAGCATCTCCATCGTCCTCTTGTGTACGCGTTCCTTCCAAATGATTCATTGGAGAAGCTCATACTTTCACAAAGCTTTGAGACTAATCCCCTTGGTTGGAAGAAGCTTCAAGAGATTGCTTTAGGCATAGCCAAAGGAATCAACTATCTTCACCAGGGGTGCGAACAAAGAATCCTTCATTTTGATATTAAACCAAATAATATCTTGTTGGACCACAACTTAAATCCAATTGTCTCTGATTTTTGTTTGACCAAGTTGTGTTCAAAACAAGAAAGCAACATCTCTATAACTGCCGCTAAGAGAACAATGAGCTATATAACACCCGAAATATTATCTAGTCATATAAAACTTTTCCAACACTAGATAATATTTCAGGCTCTATGTAATCCATTGTTTCCCTAGTGTCAGTTAGAGAGACGATGCTTCTTTGGTTTGAACACTATTTTGCCAAACCAAAATTAGAGATCTTAGGATTGAAGTTGTAGTCCAACATGATATTATTTGGTTTAATATCAAAATAAAGAATTTTTTGCTCGCACCCCCGGTGAAGATATTCTATTATTTTGGTTATGCCTAAAGCAATCTCTTGAAGCTTCTTCCAACCAAGGGGATTAGTCTCAGCGCTTTGTGAAAGTATGAACTTCTCTGATGAATCATTTGGAAGGAACTCATACACAAGAGCTCGCCGAAATTCATCAGCCCAAAAGCCAACCAAATAGACCATGTTGACACTGTTCCAATTGTTGCAACTTCGTTGATGAATAATCCCCATTTCTCATTGCATTGTTGAGGACTTTCACGGCACCAAAAGTGTCCTCACAAAGCTTCCCTTTGTAAATAGTTCCATAGCCTCCTTCACCCAATCTGTCACAGAATCGATTGGTGATCCTTTTGATTTCGGCATAAGTGTATCTCATCAGCTTGCGAGTTGTGTAATCTTCCAAAAATATTTTAATTCTTATGCCGTTCTCTTTTTTCACCTTATTTGAGCTACGGACATAATAGAGTGCAGTGAGTGTTATCAGGAGAAGAAAGATTCTTAAGATTAGACCTGCACATAAACATAATGAGTCAAGTGCATTTCTAATAGATCCCTAGAATTACAACTAAAGGAGAAAAAGAGAAAAACAAAGGGCTAATCGGAATTTTAGACTAAAAGTTTTTCAAATTTTCATTTTACCGTTTCAAAGATTTAAAGTTATGCATTGCACTTTGAATTTCTTAAAATGTGTTGGGTATTTGGGTATTCACTGTTTGCTATTATAATTCTTCTCCTTCTTAGAGTGGTGCACTTTGAGGTTTCATATGTGAAGTGACTGAACTGAAAATTAAAGAAACAAAATGGTATAAGGAATAAAATACCTTTGGATGTCTTGGATTTGGCAACACATGCAATTTCACGTTGTTTGGTATGATTGGTGAGGATACAAATCTTCTCTGCGGCATGCCAGTGGCTGCACTGGGGTTTAGACCAACTCAACTGAAGCTTTTTCTCCTGTTCAAATATGCCGCAAGGAACCGATGCGACAGAGCCAATTTGGCTGCAAATATGTCAAGTAAAGTTCCTCATTGACCATTTGAGACCTCACGGCATACACTTGATAGCTGGAGTGGTCACCGAGGCAGGGAACAGGATATGCTTCATTTATGTCGTTGATTGGTCCTAAACATTGGTATAGTGCGTAATCACACAAGTCTAGATGATTGACATGGAAAGGGTAGACAAATTTAGGTGTTCAAGCTGCACAGGAAGGCAATCCTGTGGGTTATATAGGTGAATTATTTGAGATGTAAAATCAATGTTCTCGACGAATAACTTCACTGAAAAAATAAGCTCAAGAACTGTTTGGTGATTATCAAAGCCACAGGATAGCTCGAACCCTGGATAGAGGCAGCGATGTGGGCGGTGGGATAGGTTTATTAACCCAGAATGGAAAACGAATGGTTCGACTTGGGCCATGGTCACCACTACACTTGGATTTTCACTCAACTTCTCGGCCTGCAGCTTCAAAACCCACTGCAAGGCATCCTAACCCTAAGAAAAAGAATATCTGAAGAAGGGAAAGAAAGTTAGCAATATCAGTCGATGTATTACTTTCTAGTGGATGGCCATATATATATATGATGAGCACAGCTATCAGCCAGTCACCAAGAATTTCGACCTAAAAAATTAGGTGAAAATGATGCCCTACCCACTGGTGCCTTGTGGGAAACTCTCGTATTTTCTGTTAAATATATAAGAAATCCTGATAGATTCGAGGTATTTTTCGACCATTGGATATGATGGATCTGTTCAGTTGGAATTCATATACACCTTCAAGTAATTCATCAACATTCTTAGGAGTGTCCCAACCAGCCTTCCTTTCGTCCCGTAGATCCATCTCCTTGTCCATCCCCTCCGCCATTGGAATATTAAAACAGTAATATTATATCAATCAAATTTTGAGATCAAATTTAAAGTTCAAATAATATGACAACTGACATGAACTTCTTTATTTGGTGTCATATCATTTGAGCTCTAATAAAGATTCCAAATAATATGCTGCCGCGTTATTTGAGCTCCAAGTTTAGTCATAAAATTTGGTCAATAAACTTCACTCTATTTCCTTCTAGTCAAGCTCATTTGCAGATTTCCATGCACATATTTAAAAACATAACAATGCTACACATATCAACTTCCTACACAATTTTTATGCACCGACCTAACTTAGACCATTGGATTAGTAGGTCTCATAAAATTTAGTAATACTCAATGACTCTGATTGTGCCACATTAGGTGGTGTAAGAAAAGTGGTACATAAGGGTAATGTTCACAATATTATTCTTAAACATCATCCTGCAAATGGACTAAACTATAAAGAGAAAAAAAAAGTGAAATTTACCCTAAAATGAAATAAAATAAGGGCGGGGTATTCTCATCTTTTAAATCTCTTTTTCCACCCTATTTACTCATCTTACTTCAAACTATTAAGTTAACTTCATCTATACTAATTTCATTAGTTACTAAACTCACTTCATCTATATTCACTAATTAAAAACTAAATTTATTTAATTTATTTTAACCTACTATATAGGTAATGATCTAAATTTTATTTTGGTGTATTATTTCAATACAAAAATATTTTAGGAGAAGAATAAAAATTAATAATTATTTTTATGATATTAGTCAAAATATCTTAAAATACGTCAAATAATTTAAAATGGCCATATTGGAATTAATTTATGACATTCAAGGTGCAATATGGAAAAAAAAATAATTGGGATGCAAAGTGGTAATTGAAGCATATTTCGGAGTGCAAAGTACAAGAAACCCTAAAATAAAATAAGATTTTTTGCGAATGATTTTAAATTTTTTGGGATTTATCCCAAGTAATCTCATTTTTGCTGTATTTTGACCACCCTCAGATATTATAAATTAACCTTCAAATACAGTTATTTTTCGGTATTGTACACAAATTAACTTTTTGATCATGGACATTTTACTTAATTTTGGGTGCAGTATAAAATTTTATTTTTCAGTTAACACATATTTACCAAAAAAATGGGGAATGTTAGTCAACTTCATCCTGATATTTTCTTACTTTGGTTAAAGTTGGAAAAAGAATGATAGCTGTCCATTCTCATGCTCTTGGACGCAATAATTTGGTCAAATGGTTATTTTCCGTTCATGCTATATTAAATTTCAAAGTTGGATTCGTCTTGTCCGCTAAGAAGGAGCTTTTTACCAAATCTGTTGCAAAACAATTCTCATCCGTATTTCATTCAGTAGGTGTTAACTCTCGTCTATAAGTAGTTGATGCCATGGTGGTAGTAATCTCAATCACATAGTATTGACGCCTATGAACTAACATCCTATTGTTTTCAGTTTGGAGTTGTCTAACTGCTAATTTGTAGTCTTCCTCATTTATTCTTTGCATCGCCAGTGAACGTCAGTGTGGCACGGGTGTACAAAGTTCTACTAGTTCCATGTGTAATGTGTTTAATTCATTAACACTAAATGTCTACTATCGGTATAATACTTTTTTGGATCAATATATTGTTCACTTTTATAATCTTCGCCTCTTTCTTTTAACAATTACGTTCGTTTTCGCACCCAAATGACATGTTTATCACGACTATACAAAAAAGTTAGCACAAAAAACTGTAGAGATTTTGTGTTGAAGACGTCAATCGAACTGACGTTTTTAAGTTAAGGATGTCAGATGAATTGACGTGTTTAAAATGTATCTAGGTTTGAAAAACCATTTCAAAACTACCCCATTTCCAGAATTTTGTTTGTCAAACCGGCTGGGTTTGGTAAAAAACTCTGCTAGGTTCTATACAATAAAATTGAAAAGCTTACATCTGCTAAGCACTTCAAACCCAAAAGACCAAGCGATACATTTTATAAATTTTGGTAACAATTATAGTAAAGACCTAAGATTCAACCCGGTTTTCATAAGGGTTAATGGGCTTTGAGCAATTCTATTTGTACACAATGTATTGATCTAATTTGCTAATAAAATGAATTGCCTTTATTGGATTGATAGCTAACCTCATATTGCTCGGAGCCCGCTGTGACAATGATACATTAGATCAACAACTTAAATTCAAATAATATTTTTATACAATTTAAGGGTGAGATTACAGCTATGGCCTTTTGTTTGGCTGACATTCATACAAAAAGCCAAAGAAACACACACAAACAGAAACCCTACATGAAAACTGTAAGGGGTAGTAACCTCTACTAAGGATTTCGGCTTGACCTGGATTAACCATGCGGGCGACCCCCCAGTAGCCTTTACCTCTCAGTGCCCGCAGGAGCTACGTCCCACATCGACTGAGAGTCATCTCCCCCCCTCGCATATTAGCCCTTGCACTCAAAGGAGGAGGTACCCACTAGCGACCTGATCAGGTGCCTAGTGGGTACCTCCTCCTTTGAGTGCAAGGGCTTATATGCGAGGGGGGGAGATGACTCTCAGTCGATGTGGGACGTAGCTCCTGCGGGCACTGAGAGGTAAAGGCTACTGGGGGGTCGCCCGCGTGGGTTAACCCAGGTCAAGCCGAAATCCTTAGTAGAGGGTTCTACCCCTTACAGAAAGACGCCTTTTTTGTAGGGAATTTATCCACGCGTTCGGGATGTCCTCCCCCCACAGAAGGATTTCAGCTGACCTGCGCGCGTTCGGCAGTAGCCTTTACCTCTCAGTGCCCGCAGGAGTTTCGTCCCACATCGACTGAGAGTCGTCTCCCCCTCTCGCATATAAGCCCTTGCACTCAAAGGAGGAGGTACCCACTAGTGCAAGGGCTTATATGCGAGGGGGGGAGACGCCTCTCAGTCGATGTGGGACGAAGCTCCTGCGGGCACTGAGAGGTAAAGGCTACTGCCGAACGCACGCAGGTCAGCTGAAATCCTTCTGTGGGGGGAGGACATCCCGAACGCGCGGATAAATCCCCTACAAAAACCATCAAATTCTCAAATGGGTGGTGACAAAATGTGACGAAAACGGAGCAGTAATCATCCCCCATGCAGATAGGCTGGTTGGCGCCATTAAGGTTGCAAACCCCCCTATCGCAATTTTTGCACTCAACTTTAAATCATGAAAGTTCAAATCATATAGCATGACGTGGTAGATGTCTGAAGTAAAGATCTTATTATCGTCCTTAAACCGCCACGACGTCAGCACCATTTGATCTATAGTGCAAATATGCAATTACATCTTCAGCCCTCATGCGTCCAACAAAAACATAAGAGTAAGAGTGGACAACTGATAACAGTAACAAAAACATAAGAGTAGATTTTTATTTTTGATTTTATTTCAATAAATGTTATAATAGAATATGAATTTTTGTAATAAAATCTAAAATATTTGATATTCTATATTTAATTGAGTATTTTTGTTTAAAAATAACATTTTAAACTTGAGAAGTCTAATTATTACACGTCTATAAATTTCAGAAAAGCTTGGCTGTAATTTATTAATATATATACTAACGGACATTGACAGTAGGGTCTAAGTGTTATGCGCGTTTAAACTTTAAAAGTCTGTGTGTAATATTTTAAAGGTGAAGAGATCTGAATGATTAAGTGACAAATTTTAAAGGGTGTGAATATAATTCTTCCTTTAAAAAAGTAGTATACATTAGCCGTAATAACTATGATCTCAACTATGGAACTCAACAATGCTGAAAAAATATTCTAAGCAACAATGAGAGAATGGTGGGTGCACGATTCTTGCATGCTGAATAGCCATGGTAGACTACGAGATTACGATCTTTTTCCCATACTTTTATCTGCATTATCTAACTGGTAGATAGAATTCAATGCTTACCGTAATAATATTCTTTTGCTTTCTGCAACATTAAGTCTCTTTAAACAACCTAACGAAAAAAAAAAGTCTCTTCGAACAGATAATCGTTCAAATATTACAAACTTTCAAATTTCACAAATAGTCTCTCTCTCTTACTGTTTTATGTCATGAAATTATTAATGTTGTCAATTCAATCTCATCTGCCTCTGCAACACATTTACTTTACTTACACTTATTGCTTGAACGTGGAAATAACTCACCCATACATATATGTTGAAGTTTTGTGAGGGAACATCATTACCGCCAGAAAAAAAGTCTCTCTCCCCCCCCCCCCCAAAAAAAATAAATAAATAAATAAATAAATAAATAAATATATATATATATATATATATATATATATATATATATATATATATATAGCAGAGTATTATTAATCCATAGTCCATTTTTCTTTTCAGGTAATTTTGGATGCAAAGTTTTTGAGTGATAAACAATGTCTTTTTATGGGTAGCAGTGGGTCACTACTGAATAAAAATAGTCAATCAACCAAGAGCTAAGGATACATACACTTATGGGTGTCATTCTTATCGTGTCATATTATTTTTGTGTTGTTTCATTTTTGGTACGTGTTATATTTATGTCAATATTTGTGTCAATAAAAAATTATTTAATTCTACAACAATTCATACAATATTTAAAAAAAAATTGATAGAATATTATTTAAAAAAATTATAAAATAATTATTTTTTATATACAATACTCATTAAATATTTATTTTTTGTTTACATTACGCATTAATCATATTATTTGTGGCTAACCTTAATTTGATTCATTTATTTTACATGTCAGTTAATTGGGTCACTTTCGAATTTTGTGTCAAGTCAAATTCGAGTTCGTGATTAAATTGACACTCCTATATTACACCTATTCTTAAACCTCGCATTACGGAGAATATTTGAATTGGGTTACTTTAAAAAAATAATGTATGTGTCCGCAATAATTATGGTCTCAACTCAACTATAGAAATGGAATTCAACAATGCTGAAAAAATATTCTAAGCAACAATGAGAATGGTGGGTGCACGCTTCTTGCATGCTGAATAGCCATGGTAGATCGCT